AGGGAAAAGTGGAGAAAAGGGAAGGGTGAAGAAAAGGGTGGGTGGGGGGGGGGGGAGGGGTGAAGAAAAAGAAGAATCGAAGACTTCTGGATCAAAAAATGAAAAAAATGACACTGATTTAGTATCTATGCCCTTTTGTGAAGATTTTAAAAAGAAAAATCTAACATATATAACGATTCGGAATTCATAATGACTTTTGGTAAAGATCTGCATGCTTAAAAAGACAATAGAAAATATTGTGGAAAGACAAGACGACATACAAGTTATAAATAATAACCAGAGAAGCTAAACATGAAATGAGCTTCATTAGGCTAAGGATGGCTCCCTAAAAATTATATACTGACGTCAAATGGTGTTGAAATGTGTGACTTTCTTTGATTACATTCAATGACATTCTGTTCGTTACTCTTTCCTTCTTTAGCGTAGATTTTTAACTACCCCAAACAAGCACACTTAAAGTATTTCAGGATCCTAACCGGTGCAACGGAGTTCGTGCACTGCACTGAGATTCTTCAGACTCAGGCTGGAGTTAGAAGTAGAATGGAGAACTTTTGCGTCACACCGTGTGCCATGATGTTGATCCGTCGAATTAACATCCTCATTCTTTCACGTTTTTATCTGCCATCATCCGATATTGTTGTTTCAAATGTTACTGAACGATTCTAATGTGGTGATATCGTCTTCGTATTTAAGGCATGCTACAAGAAATTTAGCACAATAAAACATTGTATTCCATGTCCTTTGTAGAGGTCGCTCCCAGCACAGCTGGCGGAGCAGTGGCTGGTTCTCAATTAGCTGGTAGTCTGGTAGTCCTAGTTTCAGCTTCATAGCAAACGAATCACCCCATCTTTGCTCCGCCCTGTCACTAGATGATGTCTTATCTAAAGTATCCATAATGTCACTAGATGATGTCTTATCTAAAGTATCCATAATGTCACTAGATGATGTCTTATCTAAAGTATCCATAATGTCACTAGATTATGTCTTACCTATAGTATCCATACATGTCACTAGATGATATCTTACCTGAAGTATCCATAATGTCACTAGATGATTTCTTACCTGAAGTATCCATACATGTCACTAGATGATGTCTCACCTGAAGCATCCATACATGTCACTAGATGATGTCTCACCTGAGGTATCCATACATGTCACTAGATAATATCTTACCTATAGTATCCATACATGTCACTAGATAATATCTTACCTATAGTATCAATACATGTCACTAGATAATATCTTACCTATAGTATCCATACATGTCACTGGATGATGTCTTACCTATAGTATCTATACATGTCACTAGATAATGTCTTACCTATAGTATCCATACTTGTTACTGGATAATGTATTACCTATAGTATCCATACATGTTACTAGATGATGTCTTACCTATAGTATCCACACATGTCACTAGATGATGTCTTACCTATAGTATCCACATATGTCACTAGATGATGTCTTACCTACAGTATCCACACATGTCACTAGATAATATCTTACCTACAGTATCCACACATGTCACTCGAGTACGTCTTGCCTATAGTATCCACACATGTCACTAGATGATTTCTTACCTACAGTATCCACACATGTCACTGGATGATGTCTTACCTAGAGTATCCACACATGTCACTAGATAATGTCTTACCTACAGTATCCACACATGTCACTGGATGATGTCTTACCTATAGTATCCACACATGTCACTAGAAGATGTCTTACCTACAGTATCCACACATGTCACTGGATGATGTCTTACCTATAGTATCCACACTTGTCACTAGATGATGTCTTAACTACAGTATCCACACATGTCACTAGATAATGTCTTACCTACAGTATCCACACATGCCACTAGATTATGTCTTATCTCAAGTATCCATACATGTCACTAAATAATGTCTTATCTAATTTATAAATACATGTCAGTAGATTATAGTTTATCTAAAGTATCCATACATGTCACTAGATGATGTCTTACCTGGAGTATCCATAATGTCACTATATGATTTCTCACCTGAAGTATCCATACATGTCACTAGAAGATGTCTTACCTACAGTATCCACACATGTCACTAGATGATGTCTTACCTATAGTATATATACATGTCAGTAGATAATGTTTTACCTATAGTATCCACACATGTCACTTGATGATGTCTTACCTAAAGTATCCACATATGTCACTAGATAAGGTCTTACCTATAGTATCCCCACATGTCACTAGATAATGTCTTACCTATAGTATCCATACATGTCACTAGATAATGTTTTACCTACAGTATCCGTACATGTCACTGGATGATGTCTTACCTATAGTATCCATACATGACACTAGATGATGTTTTACCTACAGTATCCGTATATGTCACTGGATGATGTCTTACCTATAGTATCCATATCTTTCACCACATCGTCAGGAATAGAACCAACCCACTTAGACAGGGCTTCAATGTTGACTGGCTTGATGACCTGGTCCGTGGATTTTTCCACTCTGAAATACAGAAAGTTCTAGTGATTACAGATCAAGTAAAGTATTACTGAGTGGCATCAGTAGACTAATTCACTCACAACCATTTATAGTTTAAGTATGAATATACAAACAATATATTACTTCACCCCCCCCCCCCCACCCCCCCCCCCTTTTTTTTTTCTCCTAATATATACCTGTCTTGTCAAGGTTAAAATTTATATTAATAAAACTAAGACAAGAAATTAATAATTTCAAATTAAATACACACGTCACATATAAACGAATTCCAGAAAATATGTTCATCCCTGCCCATTAATAATTCGTTAGAAAGTGAGCTAATTGTCAGCCTTGTCAGATCTCGCAACAAATAGGAAATGCGTGTGTCAGATGTATTTTGTAACACTGAGAATCATCGTCTTGTATATCATTAAATTTTCCTATTTTGCATGTATCAAGGGCCGTCGGCTCTGTGGCTAAGTTGATGCGAACGCTTTGAAATGCCGTGGGGTCGGGTTCGATCCCAGCTGCGGGCCATGCGCCTTGCATTGGTTTCGACAGTGGTATCAGGTAGCTGACCGTCCAGAAAGCAATGGCGAACTACTGGACGTAAATTTGCTTAGAGAAACCACACAACAGCCAGGGGCTGCTGGGGTTGGTTCTGCAACGTCCTGTAAAGGATACGCAACTAACCAAAAATCAAGGGCCACAGCGAACAGTAGCAGAAAACACGGTGCCAGCAAAGAGGGACAGGGACCGGCCAGCGCGAAGTTATGCACATGATGTCAGTGACACGTTGGGTATCAGAGTACACGAGGCGGGAGATCTGTCAAAAATCCCAATTTCTTTTAGGCAGGCTGTAGTCAGAGCGACGTTCTACAAATGTTCCTGCTACATGATGATGACGATTAAATTCAATAACTGGTCATCATTTGATATGGTTCAATCCGTTAATCCTCGCATAACCTTATACAGAGTTAAGATGGCTTGAATTAAAATTCGACATTAAGTACTCGAAAGATTTTCCAGCGTTATCATCCATTGCAGAGGAACCCCAGTATTGCTTTTAGCAAGCTGATTATCTGCCTGTTCTGCTTTTGCTCTGAATATAAAATATATGAACAGTCTCGCTTTTTTGCCTGTTAGCAACAAGAAAAGATCGACTTTGGAACGATAATATCGAGGATAGTCGGAACAGAACCATTATTGAAATTTTTCGGGAGACAACTATCAGATGGTTTATCTATGTGCAAGATCAGCAACAGACAGGGCACCGCAGCGAGCAATAGTAAAAAATATCTTGGTAACAGAACCAGAGGTAGACCACGCAGAATATGGACGGACTAAATATAGGATGGAGTAAATATAGAAGACACTAAAATTTATTCTAAATATAGCTAATCACTGGTCCGTTCTAAAGATCCCTGCTTGCCCTGATGCTGCCAGGCATTCCATGCGGAGGAAAAGACAAATGCGAACATGAAGACTGTGTCAATTGTGTTTACAACTTACAGCTGCCAATTATTATTTTACATATGTATTGGGCTCACTTTTGTATCCCATAATTTAGAATTGTCTAGTTAAAAACCTGCTCTCGGGCGATCAGAGCAGACTATGAGCTGAGTTGAGATCTGATATCACTTCACGTTGGACATTCCCAGTAACGCTCCGTCCTCCATCTTCAGCAGTCAGTGCACAGCTCCAGTTCTGATAGAACAGGTGTGTGTGTGTGTGTGTGTGTGTGTGTGTGTGCGTGCGTGCGTGCGCGTGTGTGCCTTTCTTCTGAGTATTGGGTGTCGGCCAAATTCCAGGAATACTTTAAGAACATATTTGCATCATATGTGGGTCGTATAATAGGCCTCCCTCATTCTAGTAAATATTGTTTTGAATATACAATTTCAAAGCTGCTTTGAAGCGAACACTTCAGTTTAGTGCAGACGAAAAATCTCCAAATGACTCGCTCTGCCTGAGTTGCATATTTGGCAAGGTAGGTTGCTTAGTAATGAGATAGACCGGCCGATAAAGAAAAGGGTTGATGTATTTATGAAAGTATGATCGGATATATGGATAGATAGACTGACAGACAGACATGCAGACTACATATCTTTACTGCTTAATAATGAACAATCATAGTAATGAACAATCGAGGGCCGCGTTAGCCAGCCTATAGGAAATGGGAACCAGAGGTAACCCTCTGGGGTAAATGGAGGAACGTCACTTTAGCTACGGAGTTGCGTGCGGACGGTGACACGGGTGGACAGTTTCTTATCAGCTGTCTGTACTGGTGGCAGAGCACTTATGGTTTATAACCGTGTGCAATGATGCTGGTTCATATCTCCCGACTTTACCTTTTTTACTGAACAATCAACACATCATAGCACATCAGACGGTGCTTTACCAACTTCCCCCCCCCCTCCCCCCCAGGTTGATGTCACAGGATAATCCAATAGTTTCGAGGGTGGTAATAATTTTCCCGCTTTCTGAAGCTTTTTGAAACCATAAAACACCTAGAACTGGGCCTAACCCCAACCCACCTACGTCCCACGACTGTATGCAGCCTGTCTACGACCCCCTAAAATATTCCACTGTCTCTTTGTGGAAAAGATATTAAGATAGAACCCACCAGAGGTACACATAGGTGCTCATTATTCCGCAGCACACATCTCTGTGTCTTCAGTGCTTCGGGTGGGCTATAGTGATCGCTTCTAACAATACATGCAGACAAAATAATGGATGAGTGAAATTAGTAAGATAGTTAAGTCGGGAGTTCTTTCTGTACGTTTGTTAGTTTTTAGGTAAGTATAAAAAAGCCGACCATCATCCATTTCCTTAATGGTTACACCGTGGTATTAACGTGTGTGGCAATCAAGGATTTATTATCCGTCAAATTTAGGTTGATTTATTTGATCCGGTATCTTTTTACGGGTTTCCCAAATCACACAGGATCGCTAAACGCCATTTTTATAAATTGTCAGAACAGTATCACGGCAATCCAGGGCCGTCATTCAGCTGATTCTAGAGACCAGTTTTTATTGTTTAATGAAATGCCCGTCTTGTGCGGCTCTGAAAAATGACAGATATCCCTAACGGAAAATTAAAACGCCCACGTGCACGGTGATAGAAGATTGGGGAATTGGTGAATTAAAGGTTGGAGAGAAGGAGGAGACTTAAAGAATAAAATTATTAAGACTAGAGAAATGAAAAGATAAGGGACACGGAAAAGGAGAATACACGTAAGATGTAAAGATAACGGAACGGAGTGATGGAAATGACACTTGCAGATAAACAAAAAAACGAAAGGGTGTAAGAAATATACGACTGAGAAATGCTAAATCTGAGGGCTAAAATAATTGGGAGAAAAAAAGAAAATTAATTAAGGAAACGAAAGAACAAGAACACGTGAGACAGGGAGCAAAAGTTAAACAGAAAATTGGCAAGGGCAAAAAGGCAAGAATGCCTTATAAATAGTGAAAAGAAGAATGATAATAACAGCCAAAAAAGCAGATGGACAAAGAAACGGGAAAGAAGTGCCATATTAAATACCACGACACAACCGCTGAGCAAATAAATTGCATTCTACGTGAAAAACACAGCTCACAGGGCTGCACCAAACACTAAACTCAGTAGCTCAGGCAGCGAAACTGTAGACTACCGTCCAAATGTGGAAACTGCATAAGCAAAACGCTGTCAGAAGCAAAATAATTTCTAAGCTAAACATTCTGCTATGCCTAGTCCTCTATTTTCGACCGAAAGTCTCGGCCGCTTTAACCTCCGCGAAATCTTTGGCCAACGATCTATGTCTAGTATTTTGCGTTGCATTTTTCATGTAAGCCACATTGTGACTTCCGCTGAAACAATGAAAGGATACGGTGTAATGGCTGAACTCAAGGAACACTAGGGCACCAGAACTTAGGGGTCAAACCCCCTGACACCCCCCCCCCCCCCCCCCCATAAAACTGTAGGAGGCTAAGCGAGACCGCTAACTGTAGACAGATGTTTTATATTCCAGTTTTTAATTATACATTTTAAATGAGGATATCAACTATTGGGCATATTACTATTGCTACTATTGCACACTGAAAAAGGCTTAGGTTTATGAGACCTCACCCGCTTTTCCTTTAGAAAACATAGAAAATGGGGAGGGGACTTTTTTTTTTAGTCATGATATAAAAATGTAGATAAAATATTTGAATCTGCTGTGTCCATTAAACTACTGGTATATAACAGATTATGTATCTCTTGTGGTGCATTAGGTAGACAACTCTACCAAAAAAGAAAGGGGGAGGGAGGTTGTGCCAAACATTTTACACTTAATTTTTGCATAACAATATCACACTTATTACAGTTTTTTGTCTATAGCAGTTCTGTTCTTCAGATACAGGCTTTTGTGTGCCTAGTGACTAGTATTACAGTATTTGCTGTATAAGACACTGGATAAAACAAAATATGGTTGTCTGCTTTCTTTAAAAAAAAAAAAAAAACTGCTTATTTGCATTCAGTTTTCCAAGAATCTTCCTAGAATTACGTTTTTGTGATCTAAACGCGCTGCATGCATTTGTATGCTTGTTTTTTTTCGCCCCTAGTTATATAATTGCATGGCTCTGATGTGTATGTACTAGACGGAGTGCCACTATACTTTAATTCGGGACAGCTGCTATGCAGTTTTACAGCCAGGGACATGTAGCTTCTCCGTAACCTCAGGCATCAACATATCTGGCTCTATTATTGGCATCATCATAAGCAAATGCTGCTACTACATTCATTCTGACATCAAAGCATCCTAAGAACCCAAACTCCAGACGGTCCTAAGATCCATCGATCACTTGCCACAGCAGAAGCCAGTAATGTTTTAAATCCATATTCCACTTCCTGAAAGCCCCAAGTTCATTAACGAAGTCTCACTGATATGGGAAATGGGTTGCGAGGATGGAGTATGGAATCTTCCCCTGTCTGTTTGAGATATTACTCGTTGACTGACGTAGCCGTGTCATGCTGAACAGCCAATAATTGAAATGACAAGACAA